TATAAGCTATATTTCAGTCAAATTTTTTATCTATATCGTAATTTAGTAATAAGTAATGTGTGTTTAAGTAATTTTCATAAGGGAAACTTATATGGGACGATCGCACCCATATTATGAACCGATCGTAAAAAAACTTAAAATATAATTTTTGTATACAAAACTAATATTTGTGCAAAATTTTGTATCAATAGCTTTACTTGGTAATGAGTAATGTGCGTTTAAGAGATTTTTGTAAGAGGACCTTGTATGTGAGCTATGACCAATTATGGTCCGATCCTAAAAAATTCCGCAGTAACATTAATGTATATAAAGCAGTGTTGCCCATACACATATTGTAACACATTCATTTGTATTGGTAAAGCAGCAGAGAACAAAATTAAAAGCTCTCGTGTAAAAAAAATGTACGATGATATATTTGCATAGTTTTTGTGAAAATTACATCAGAATGTGTAAAAAATGCTTATTTTTTGGGGTTGTTTTAAATTTTGATTCATATTTTTCCTTGATGTGAACCGATTTTGCTCATTTTCAATACCAATACTGCCAAGGATAATAGGGAATATTCTGGCCAAATTTCAATAATTTATTTCACTTCCTTTTTACGTGAGCGTGTTTTACACAGACAGACGGAAGGACGGACGAACATAGCTAAATCGACTCAGAATTTCATAAGGACCAAGAATATATATATTTTGTTGGGTCTCAAATGTATATTTCTTGGTGTTGAACACGGAATGACAAAGTTATATATACCCTCTATCACCACTCATGGTGGTGGAGGGCATATAAAAGAAAAAAGGCGGTTTTTATAGGTGTGACAAAATAATATTTTTTATATTTTTGGAAATATTATTAACAAATATTTTATCATAGGAGGTGACCGACTCAACTTTTTTTCTCTTAGAGACCAACCCGCTCTAATGTTCATATCTTAAAAACTGTACATTCATTTTCTTATTTTTTATCAGTTTTGTGTTCATCTTGTTAATGCACATCCCGAAATATTTATAAGACCGAAATTATTTTTGTCATAAGTCGGGAATTATTGGGGCAATTATCGAATAATTTCGCAAGGATATTTGTTGTACTAATGTACATTTTTGAGGTATGAAAAAATTAGGTACTTAAATTTTATATCCGTTGTTAAAGTCGTAAAAAAATAAGTTTTTTTTGGAAAAATTTACTGCTTATTGTACTTCTTTTTAATAAAGAGACTATTAACTTGTATTTAATCATATTTTTATTAAAAAAATACGATGAAGATATAATTTTTATAAATAAAACTGTTGACATTACCGTACGGGGTAAAATATTGAAAAAATTAAAAAAATCATAGCAGAGTGTTATATTTATTGTTCTTTAATATTTATAATGTATTATATTTGTCATCGTACAGTACATATATGAAAAGATTTTAAAGAAATTTGTTAGAAATTTCTTTATCCGTTTTTACCATTTTATTTCTGGAATATCATTTCATTAATTGGATTTTTAAGAAAAAAATCCTGTTTGTAGTCAGTAACTCAAAATAACTGTTAACTAGTTTTCTTTTCGAATCAAAGAATTTGCAACAAAATGGCATCGATTTGTTGTTGTATATTTTGTTATAAATGCATAAATTGTATATTTTTAAATTGCATATATTTTGCATATTTCTAACATTTTTATGGCATATTTAGCATATATTATAATTTTTCATTGTGTTTTTTGAAATACCATATTTAACCCTACCCTCCATATAAAGAATCCTTCAGAAAATCAGTTTTTGAACTATTTTCTATTAAGAAAAATATCAACAACGTCGTCAATAGCTAACGGATTATTAAAAAAGTTGTGTTTTACTCATGACGAGACATAGTTTTCTATTACATTTATATATTGTACGTTTCCTATACAAAATAATTTCAAAAAACATCTTCAAACTTGGAAAACGGTGCAAAACTAAAATCAAATATATGATTTCTGATGAAACTTTAAATCGGTTGAGATTCAACTATGTTACTGACTTATAACTGCTTAAAGGTACGAAAACCCGGATTTTTACCCGTAACTCAAGATTTTGGAGGTGTTTGGCAAATTTCAAAAACATACTCTTGTTCTACTCGGATCCACCTTACAGAAAAATAATATCACTTCCCAGGTATTTCAATGTTCGCTTATTTTGTCTCACTGTGATATCTATCTAATCTAAACTCCTTTGGGCAATTTTTGCTAGGACCAATAGGTGAAAAGTTACACTCTGTATGACCAAAATGTCCAACTTTACCTCCTCTACCTCCAGCAGTTCTTTACCGATGTGTGTAGCTACTATCCAATTGTACTAACATTGGTGCAAATTTCATCCAAATCGATTTTTTGAGTTGGGTCACTTGACACGAAAGTGCCTATATGTATGTTTATTATTTAAAAGTGTTCCTTAGGCTTTATAATTATTGTAATTCTCGATATCGTGATTCTGTTGGTATTAGAGTACATCAAGAACCTATATATTTGTTGTCCAAAACTTAAGTTATAAATATCTATAAAAATGTACTTAAAGAAAAATTAGTGATAACAAATAAAGTTCACAGGGAAATATCTTTTTGGTACATATTTTCCAAATTTTTAGTGCTTATTTTCCCATTTTACAGTGCATAAAAATCCTTGCTTGATAATGACAAATTATTCCTAAAACAAGCTTTCGCTAGCTTTTTTTAGGAATTTCTTGAAAAAATTTTTTATTTTTCTAAAAGTGGGCGCTGAATCTCCCAACTTTTTGATATTAAAGACCATCTAATATGATATTCAAATTAAGTTTGATACCAAATATTTTAGTTCAGATTTGTAGAAAAACTTCAAACACAACATTCTACATCAATTCGCTTCAAATTGACCCCTTAGATCACTTATCGGAATAACAATAACCTTATTTATAATAGATCTGACCTAGAGAAGTAAAAATTACATCAGATACAACTATACAATCTATTTCATAACAATAAGTACAAAAACCCATAAAGTTTTCCAAAAAACTAAGTTTTTTCAAAGATTTTAACAATATCTTACGTTTGGTCTTATAATTATTTCGTTTGAATATAAAATTTAAATACCGTTATTTTTAATGTGGAATAACGGAACTTATTTTTTTCATACCACAAAAATGTACATTAGTACATCCTTGCCAATTATTCGATAATTAAACTTCTAATAGTGAAATTATGTTGTATTTTAACGTCAAATGAAAGACTGTAAAATATATTCAATTTTTTTGAGGGTAAGAGCCCGCGCATCGCTGCCAAAGTTTGTAAATGCGTTTATAAGGGAGAAAATGGCTCTCTTTGGAGTTTTTTCACAAAATGAGGCTTTAAGCAATAATTATTGCACCATTTTATAGCAAAAACGTAATGTATTGTCTTTCCAAAAAGATAGAAACTCAAAATTGGTTAAAAAAGTTTTGAGTTATTAAAATTTCGCGCGAGAATTTTGTGATTTGAAGACACATAAAAGTGAATATAGAAAATTTTTCTGTCTGTTTTTAGAAGGTTAATGATTTTTAATTTCGGGAATTTTATCAGAAATAACATTCCATGGACTCGGAAATAATAATCGCAATTTACTTCATTATAATTATAATAATATCATTTTTACTTACAAAAATTGACTTTTTCTCGAAAACTTTCAACTTCACATCGCAAGTAAAAAAACTCGGTAAAACTGTGAGAGGTATTGAGCTCATTCTTTTTGTGTTTAATTCTTATATATATCCTTTAATTTTTCAAAATTTTACTTAAAAAAATTGCCTTTTTCTCGAAATTCTTCAACTTCACGTCGCAAGTACGGTAAAACTGTGAGAGGTATTGAGCTCATTATTTTTGTGTTTAATTCTTATATATATCCTTTAATTTTTTAAAATCCATTTAACAAAATTTTAAAATGGAGTTTTGAAGGTGCTGTTAAAATAATGGCCTTTTTTTGACCACAGACTAAACTGAGTAAGGGTTATCCAATTTTAACAAAAATTCGTACTAGCACATTTATGAATCTTATAAAGATAAACATACTACTTTTTTGGAAAATTTTTCAAAACTAAAAAAAGTTTTCTTATATTTACTTTTATGTGTCTTCAGAATCATAAAATTCTCGGGCGAAATTTTAATAACTCAAAACTTTTTTAACCAATTTTGAATTTTTCTATTTTTTTGGAAAGACAATTTTGTATACATTACGATTTTGCTATAAAATGGTGTAATAATTAATACTTAAAGCCTTATTTTTTGAAAAAAAAAACTCCAAAAAGTGCAATTTTTTCCCATATAAACGCATTTACAAACTTTGGCGGCGATGCGCGGGCTCTTAACCTCAAAATAATTGAATAATATTTTACAGTCTTCCATTTGACGTTAAAATACAACATAATTTCACTATTAGAAGTTGATCCGAGAGAAAAGCCTATTTTCGACCCACCCTAGTGTATACATACAATATGAATTTAACATAAATTTGATGTTTTAAAAAATTTTGTAAAATTTGTATGAAAGTGAACACTTTTTTCTTCTATTAAAATTAAACTTTGAGATAGCATATTAACAAAATTTTTTTGTTAATAGCGCAAAAATTACTTTTATGGTTTTAAGTTTATAGCAGACGTGGATAATGCCTTGCCGTAAAAAAAACACTTTGATTTTAAATTGAGTTAGCACTTTTTGAAGATAAGGTGCCGATATACATATAAATACTATTTATGAATAATATATAAAATTTCCTTTAAATAATTTTTATTTTTCCTTTATTAATGAATAAGTTGATTACTTCTACATCAATTTAAATGCAAGTTTTTGTTAAAAATTAAATGAAAATTAAGTAGTCGGTTATTGCAACAAGATATTTCAAAATAGTGTTGTTTGTGACTTTTCAAATAAAAATTATTTAAAAATAAATGAATTGTGTTGATGAAATTGGTAATTAATATGGCAATTGCTTTTAAATAATTTGTTTCTATGAAGCTTTATTAAGACCCTTACCTCCGTACGGCGCAGGATACATGGGATAGCCTAGACCAACATGTGTATGGTGATGTGTGTGTACGTGTCTTTGAGGTGGAGGACTTCGTGAATCTGATGTACTACCACTACTGACGTTGCTACCACTTCCGTTTCCACTTCCGCAACTAGGGGCCGCAGAGGAGTTAACTCCTGTTTGTGTTTTTTGGGGGTCATTAAGAGGGGTTCCTGTTATATTCGGGCCATTTCCGTGTGATTTTTGGCCTGTTACATCTTGCTTGTTAGAAATTCCAATATTTTGTGACGCTAAATTGTGCGGCAGCTGTGTGACATTAGTAGACTGATTTTGTACAGAGTGGTGACCAATAACATTTGAACTTATATTTGAATGTTGAGAAGTGCCAATATTCGGACTAGAGCCGCTTATTTTAATTGTACCAGACACATTACCCGAATTAGAGTTATTCGGTGATTTTAAAGCTCTTTCGCTAAGTTCGTGAATTTTGTGAGTAGTGTAGTACTGACTTGCCGCATGATGAAGTGCGTCTAGCGCTTTTGTTCCAGTATTTCTTGAAAGATCTTCTGGAGCATGATATCGAGGCATTGGTAAGTGATATGGTGGTGTATTGTATGGTGACGATGTTGGCATCAGAACATTTCTGTACATAGGATGACTTGGATCAAATCCGAAAGGAGTTGAAGTTATATAAGATGGATGTAAAAAATATTGCGATGTTGGTGGAGGAGGAGGACCTTGAGTTTCCATTGTTGGTTTTTGACCTTCTTGTTTTATAACTTTCAATTCTTCTTCTTGTTTATGCTTTGGTGATTCTTTAGAAGTATTTACAGAATTTGCAGACTTACTTACATTAAGAGATGTACTTGACTTAATTTTTATCTGTTGTTGATTCTGTGCTGTATTATGCTGTTGTTGTGAAGATGTTGTATCATCTTTACTTTGCGGATTTACAGATTGAGGAGGAGGATTTTGTACCTGCTGATTAACAGCACTTTGGGAAGAACTGTTTTGGCGACGTTGCTGATCGGAAAATATGTAGTATCTATAATTAAAATATAAAAATTTTTATTCATTGGAACTGTTGTGTTTGTATTTATATTTTCACAGTAAAATATATTATGGTCAAGAGACAATATATACAAGTAAAACTAATTTGACGAAAATTTTCGCATACTTCCACGTGATTGCCAATCTTGTATAAGTAATGAAAATATTTTTTTTAGGTTATTTGGAATCAAAAACATCACGCACCAACCCCAATTTCTAATATAAACAATTTTTTTAAGTTTTTATTTTTATTAGTTTAAATATTTATATATGGGTATTTTTTCCGTAAAGTATACTTTTGTCACATCGCGACTCATCACTGACTGATGTTTACGCAAATATACTATTTTAGATCCCTTAATTAAGAAGTTCACAAAAAAAATTTGTTGATCATATTTGTTTTGACCATATCTATGATTCTTATGGATCGATTTTACTGGTTTTAAACAGCTAAATTCTTAAAAGCATATCTAATTGAATTATTTAAGATTTGGATTCCCGAGTTGTACGGAGCCTTCAAAAAACTAGTTTTAAAAAACAGACGGACAGACATTTTGTGCGTGAACTTTTTTAACAACCGCAAAAAAAGTAATAACGTAGTTTCTCACATTTTTAATGCTCTATTCGATTATGCTATGCCAACTTTCATGTATACAACAAATGTCAATAGTTATATCCCTAATGTACATTAGAGTGTCCCGAGGAACAGCATTTTTAAGAATTTCATGTAGGAATACCTATCAAAAAAAATATTTTTTTTGGAATGGAAAAATAAAAAATAATTTTTTTAGATGGTCCTCAGTTCCATACCAGCAATTGAAAATCCTGACTTCAGTATAATTTTTGAAAAATAAAATGTCTTCGATTTTCTCAAAATGGGTCTCAAAACTTCTGTAATTTTCTCCTGATTACGGGAAAACTATATATATATACGTCATATATCAATATTTATGGCTTGACTGTAGCTATATTTCACTCTTAGAAAATTTTTTAATTCGAGGTTATATTCTATGCACGACTTCTGATATCTCGGATCCTTCCCCAAAATCTAAAATTGTGGCCTAACTGGAATAAAGTACATGGAATTATATGAACTATTAGCATTTAAAATGCTCACTTTTATGCATAAACACCTATTTTATAGATATTTAAAAATGTTCAAGTATTTATTTGCCAGGAAAAACAATCGAAATTTTTTTTTAAATGAACTAGGTATATAACACAGAAATCCTTTTTATTTTTCCAGTTACCAACCATTTCAGATCCTACTTCCTTTCAAAATAGAAGAAAGTTAACTACATATAACCTACAGCAATATAGTGGTTTAGCTATGTCCGTTCGACTGTCCGTCCATGTAAACCTTGTAATCAAACTACAAGTCGTAATTTTCCAGATAATTTGATGAAAATAGGCTTAAATATTTCATTTTACCAAAGGACGAAGTTGTTTGAAAATGGATTAAATCGGAGCTCTTAATTGTGGCTTGTCGTTATTTCCCTCTTAAACACTACCATTATGATGAAATTCTGCATCTCTAACTCCTATATGAACAGAAATCCATCCACCAAATTTTGATAGGATCGGTCTATAATTGATCCTAGCTCCCATATATAGGCTCTTTCAGAAAATCAGTTTTCATCAATAAATTGATTAAAGAGTAATGGACAAATTTCAATATAAATGCTTTATTAAAAAAGATATCACATTTTAGATATACTCATAACTGGCATCATATGGTCGGCCATTCCCGACTAATATTTTTTTATTAGTTTTTATTTCAAGAACTTCTTTTAAAATATAAAACTATTTAAGAAGAAGTTAATCTATCATTAAATAAATTATTATTATTATTACATTTTATAAAAATTAGTATAAACATTTTTGAAAATTGTTAAAAAAACCAAGAAATATGCAAGTAATTGTATGGTAAAAACATGAAATATTTTTATAAAGCATAACTCTTTAATTTTCATCAATTTTTATAAAATAAACTGTTTAGTTTTTATGTACCTACGTGATTTTGTTATTAATTAATAAAATTAAATGTTGAATAAAATTATCTTTCTTGTGTTAAGATAGGGGGCAGAATAAAATTTTTGTAAATTAATTTGAAAAAATAGTTTTCGACCAAGTGAAGAAAAATAAAATGCAGGGTTCTCATATACCAATTCTATTTCGTTATAGTCCATAGAATACGAATATATTTTTAGTTTTCCCCTATCACTTCGTTAACTTACTTTTTAAGAGCAAAAGATGCCAAAAAGAGCCATTTTTGAAGTTTTAAATTTGAAAAATCATAAGTTTAGTAGTTTTCATCCGATTTTCAAATCCGATATTTTTTTTAATGATACAAGTGTTGCCTTTTAATCCAAAAAAAGAAATCCAAAATTTATGGTCAAATGTCTGAGTTAAGGTCGTTTAAGTAAAAAACTCACACTTCTTTAAAAAATTTTCATTTTCATCATGCTCTACTTTGGCCATGAGGCAGTGAGTTCATCTTTTATTACTTTCCTGAAGAATCACATAAAGGAAGATTTCTAAAAATCTATGAAAAAACTGGATGATTTATGCCAATTTTTCTAATAGCATGTTCCTCGAATTTTTGGTTTTCTCCATACAAATTAATTTTTGTATAAAAATGTTTATAAACATTTTTCAAACTTGTTACAAAGAAAACCAGAAACATGAACCTTTTTGTATGGAAGAAATATGCAATATTTTTATAAAACTTAGCACAACTCATAACGTTTTTCATCAATTATTATAAATTGACCATCATTGGAAACCCAACTTAATGTGCCTTTTTTCAAATGTAATAAAAGCTAAAGTTACTGCTTCATGGCCAACGTAGAGCAGTATGAAAATTAAAAATTGTGAAAAAAGTGTGAGTTTTTTTACTTAAATAGCCGTAACCAAGACATTAATCATAAATTTTGGATTTATTTTTTTGGGTTGAAAGACAACACTTGTATCTTTAAAACAAAATATCCAATTTGAAAATCGGTTTCAAACTACCAAACATACATTTTTTAAAGTTAAAACTTCCAAAATATCTCTTTTTCACATCTTTTGCTCTTAAAAAGGAACTAAACGAAGTGATCGGGAAAAATTAAAAATATATTCCTACTCTATCGACTATAACGAAATGGAATTGGTATATGAGAACCCCTGCATTTTTATGCTGTATCACTGTGTAATTGTTAGTAGTTAGAACAGTACAGGTATTTTTAAATACCTGTAAAATAGCTGTTTATGCATAAAAGTGAGCATTTTACAAGCTAATAGCTCATATAATTAAATATACTTTGTTCCAGTATTGCCACAATTTTAGATTTTGGGGAAGGATCCGAGATATCAGAAGTCGCGCATAGAATATGACGTCGAATTAAAAAAATTGTTTAAGAGTAAAATATAGCTACAGTCAAGCCATAAATATTGATATATTATATGATACGATCGGACTTAAAATGGCGACGTTATATATAAAAAACAAACAGGGCGGTATTTCTAGGCGTATTTCAGTCGTACGGACATAGCTAAACCTCAATAGTGCTGTAGGACATTATTAACTTTCTTCTTTTTTGATAGGATCTGAAATAGTTTGTAACTGAAAAAAAGGATTTCTGCTTTATAATTCATTTCCAAAAAAAGGTTTCGACTGTTTTTCCTTGCAAATTAATTGTTTGTTGTGAGAACGGTTGATAATGAATATTTGAACATTTTTAAATATCTATAAAATAGCTGTTTATTATGCATAAAAGTGAGCATTTCAAAAGCCAATATTTAATTTTATTAAATGCTCTTTATTCTTGTATAGCCACAATTTCAAATTTTGAGGAAGGATCCGAGATATCAGAAGTCGGGTATAGAATATTACGTCTAAATAAAAAATCGTTTAAGGTTGAAATGTAGCTACAGTCAAGCCATAAACACTGATAGGTTACGATCGGACTTAAAATGACAACGTTATGAAAAAACTAAAAGGGCGATATTTCTAGGCGTGGCAAAAGAATAATTTTTATATTTTTGGAAATGTCACAAACATATCTTTAATCTTAGGGAGTGACTGTCACAACTTGTTTTGTACTAAAATTACAGCAATTTATAGTATATGGTCCGAAATTTAAAATAACAAAAAAAAAAAAAAATAACCCTTTAAAGCACTTGGGTTCAATATAACCTCTAAGTTCAATACTCTAATACTCTATATAATTTTAAAAATAAAAAAATTTAAATCATTTATATTCAGTATATTTGTTGCTATTTTAAATATCGGACCATATACTATAAATTCCTGTAATTTTAGTAAATACGGCCAACAAACATATAATATTTCGATATGTGTCAATGAGAATTTCCAAACATTGCAAAATTTGACTTTTGAGCTCCAAAGTTTACGCATTTACAACCCTATTGCACGTTTTTTCGAATTTCATACAAATTATTTGTTCTTAAGTCCACTTCGCCTATAGTTCATTTTCGTTTAAAGGCCAAATTTTCTTTGCATGCATAACTAATATTATATAGAAAAAGTATTTCATATAGTCCAACCTGTTTTTTGTAATACTTTTTTTAAACAAAGCAAAAAAAAATCGAATCATTTATTGTAAATTCTTTAAAAAAGAAACAATCTAAGATTACATAATTCTTTTAAAAATGTTCAACAATTCGCAATTTATATTTCATATAGAAATTGATATCTATCTTGTGTTTGATTTAGTCATCCAAATACTTATGCCCGAATTCAGAAAGAAAAGAAAAAAAAAGAAAACAATTTTTTAAATTTTGTATTTAATTTTTTTGTTATTGTTTTTCATATACAATTTTTGTACATTCTTCTTTTTTACATTCTTCTTTCTGAATACGGGCCTTAAAATGGATCTCATACTTTAAGTTTTTTTTTCGATTTTTATTACAATAAGCTTTTATTTTGTTTCAAAACGTGGTTTAATTGAAGAAAGTACATACTTTGTATATAGTCCAAAATGTGTACTA